GGTCGACCGAACCAATTCCCGAGAGTTTAATCGCATACAGGGTCCGCGCGGTCGACTGAACCAATTCCCGAGAGTTTAATCGCATATAGGGTCCGCGCGGTCGACCTCCTTCAACTCCAGAGCCTCCTGCTCTCCTGTGCATGTTTGCGGTCGACCGCCGCTGACTCGCGGTCGACCGCCAGTCTGCCTGGCTAATTCCTNTTTCTCCAGAAGGTCATTTGTACATCTTTAGTGGTATGATTTAGGGCGGTGTCATTTGAGAGCACCCTCTATATACTAGCTCCTGTAGGGATATCATGTATGAGTATAGTTCCACATCGGATAGGATAAAAAAGAGTGATGAATTTAAAAAAGAATTAGGACAAATACCTAATAGCTTATGCTTTTGGGTTAAAATTGAACTCTATTTAAGGCCAATTACTTCTAGGTTGGACGTGATTTCTCTCTAAAAAAATAGTATCAAATCTAAGATTATGGTCAAATAATTTTAAAAATAAAAATAAAAATAAAAATAAAGTTCAATATGTCTGGCCAAGCAGGCCTTTGCCTCACCTTGAAATAATAAAACAAATAAACATATAAGGTTTTTTTTTGTCAATGAACAAGCTTTTATTCATTTACCAATTGAAGTTGTTATGTACATCAAGATCTTAACATAGAGAAACCAACAAGGAGCTACTTACAAGGTGACAAATCCAATATTTACAAAGATAAAATCCAATCTCTATTTTCAGCTGATATAGGACTGTTTAGGTATATGGTTAAGATATCAATTTTGATATCCTTAACCAAATGATCTTTGCTTCTACATCTCTGCTAGAAAAACCTGGTATATCTCTCTTTCCAAACACTGTACACTGTAGCAGAAATTGTCATCCTCTTTAAATTTTGTTTGAACCCTCTGTCTCTTAGTCTTGAATTAAACCAGTCCATCAGTATACTCCAATCGCAAGCTCTCCAATCAAATTTGAGCTAATCCATAATGGCTATCCACACTTCCCTTGAGTAGGAGTGATAAAAAATAGGTGATTTCGGTTCTCAAGGCTTGCACCCGAACAAAGATAACAAGTGTTTGTATTAATAACCCCTCTCCTCATCAATCTATCTTGAGTGAGTAACATGTTCTGAATAGCAAGCTAAAGCACAAAAGAATGCTTCAGGTAATTCATCTTCCCCCAGACTGTGTTATACCAGGGTACCCTTTGAGAAACAGAGGAGAAGGTTGCATACACCGCAGACATCTGGATTTTAGAGATCTTATAGCATGAACTAAGAATTTGCTTCAAATTATCAATTCCACCACAAGCATTCAAAGCTTTATCTCTGGTTTGAATAAGCTGCTTCCACATCCACGAGTCCCCAGTTCTAGCATTCACATGTCAAACATATAAGGTTAGTTGCTAATAATAATTTCAAACAATAGGAGTAAAAGGCATAAGATATATCTTAATTTTCTCAAACTTAATCCTCTCAGTTTCTCTCTCTATCAAGTTGAATTGTTAGATGCATCTATAAATTTTTATTTCCAAGAGTTGAACAATCATCTTGATAATCATAATATAGAGTTGCTTTTTTTTGGCATGTTTTAAACAAAAAATTCATTCCCTTCGTTTGATAAACTTGATATGGAGTTCCTTGTTTTTTTTGGCATGTTTTAAACTAAAAATTCATTTCTATAAATTAATCAATTTGCTAAGTTCTATCCTAAAGTGCACCCCCCCTCCTTTTTTTCTTTTATTGAAAGAGCTTGCATATTTAACAATCAACTTGAGAACTACCTTTCCAATGTAGTTACTCATTATGAATTTTCTAAAACTGAAGGGTTTGCTAAACTTGTTAAGAAGTTGGTTGAAGTGAAAATAGATATTTTGTATTATTTAGTGTACAAGTTAGTAAAGTTTGAGGTAATCTTTCCCATCGCAATAGCAAGTAGAAGAGCACTTTCAGTAACGAAAATGATTAAGAATGACTATCAGAATTGAACGAAGGAGGAATATATGAATGATTATTTGATATCTTATATTATTTAAGATATATTTTATGACTTTGATGAGGAAGATATTTAAAATGTTTCAAGAAATAAATACAAGGAAAATATAATTGTAAACAACATATACTAATTTGAAATATGATATTGAAAGTCTTGTTATGTTATTATATTTAGATGCTAATTAATTGTGCAAACAAAAAAATTATATATCGCGTTTAAGTATTTTTTTGGACGCCCTCCCGAAATTCTTGGCTCTGCCACTACTCAAAGGCATTAGGAGAATGAGTAAGGCTGGGAAGTTTCAAGTTGGAGTTAAGCGATGATGCCCGTAGGAGTGATATGGTCTTATTAACCCACAAGCGGTGGAAGATCCTACAGATGTTTGATTGCCATGTGACGAATACATGGTTGCTGGTTCAAACTAAATTAGTGAATCTCGTGGAAGACTGAATTATACTCACAAATAAATGGGAGATTGTAGGGATATTCATGTGTGAGTATAGTTTCACATCTTATAGGTTAAGAAAGAGTGAAGGATTTAAATAGGAGTTGGGGCCAATAACTAATTTTTTTTTTTGGTAAATGAACTGAATTTTATTCATTTTCCAAATTGTGACATTGTGAAGAACATCAAGAACCAGCAATGACTAATATAACAAAAATAAAGAAAATTACATTTTCTCTAGTATTTCTTTCATATGGCTATATACACTATCATTAAGTACTTTTGTGTAAACTGAAACATGTATATCTCTGAAAATCTGAGATGGATCTTTTGCTTTAGCTTGAAAATTTCTTTGATTCCTCTCCCTCCATATCATATAGGTTGAAATTGATAGAACTATTCTCTTCAATTTTTTCATCAACCATTTTCCTTTCAATCTATAAGAATACCAATTAATGAGCTGATTCCAATTACATGATCTCCACCTGTAGTTAAGCCATTCCATCACTCTGTTCCAAATGTCAGTTGAAAACTGACATTCAAAAAGTATATGATCTCTTGTCTCAGGCTGATATCTGCAGCATAGAACACACTTGCTCTGATCTGAGTTCGTAATCCCCATTTGACACAGTCTATCCATGGTGAGAAGTTTTGAATTGCATGCTAACCACATAGTAAATGAGTGCTTTGGATAAAGAAAACTATCCCATATTGTATCAGACCATCCAACCTTAGAAGCTGGCTGTGTCAAGATTTTATACACAGCTGATAGTTTGATTTTACCATTTGTTGTGCAACTTTCCATGCCTATCTTCATGTTTTCGATACTTCCAAACTTATTCAACAACACATCTCTTACTTTCAACAGCTGTCTCCACATCCATGAATCACTCACTCTTGATCATGCCTCCCATATGTTATGATTTTTCAAGTAATGGCAGTGAACCCATTTGATCCATAATAGATCTTTTTTCAAATGTACCATCCACAGGAGCTTAAAAAAACCCCCAGCCCCCCTTTTTTCTTCTCTTGACATACAACACTCCAGGATACTAGGTGCATCTTGTTGTCCCATAGGAAATCTGAGCATAGTCTATCAATTTTTCCAAGACTTTTATTGGCAGGATATAGTTGCTAATCCAATATGTATGCATACCCAGAATAACAGATTTAATCATCTCTAATCTCCCAGCATAAGAAAATTTCCTTCTCTGCTGCCAGTTTTGGAATTGAGCCTGAATTTTCCCTATCAATGCAGAGCATTCAATGTAAGTAAGCCTTTTTGTACTTAGTGGGAGTCCCAGATATTTCATAGGTAAAATACCCTCTGAGAAATAGAGGAAGCTACAAATTTGGCTTTTGAGATTATCATCTATCCCACTCATGTAGATGGAGCATTTACTGGGGTTAGCTTCCAGACCTGAAGCTTGACTGAAATCTTGAAGACATGCAAAGATTTTTCCAACAGAGCTCATATCAGCTTTGCAAAATAGCAACAAATCATCTGCAAATACAAGGTGAGTAATCTTCAACTTAGAACACTTGGGATGAAATTTAAACATTATATCTTTTTTCAGTGCATCCATTCTCCTTGACAGATATTCCATCCCAATCACAAAGAGATAAAGGGGATAGAGGATCCCCTTGTCTTAATCCTCTAGCTCCTTGGAAATAGCCATGTAACCCTCCATTTATTGCTAATGAGAACTTAGGGGTAGTGACACATTCCATTATCCATCCAACCATAGTGCTAGGAAAACCCAATCCAATCAACATGCTTTTGATGAAATCCCAGCTAACTGTGTCAAATGCCTTCCTTAAATCAACATTAAGAGTATCTCTTGGAGAGTTATTTTTCCTCCCATAATGCTTTATAGGTTCATGAGCTAAGAGGAAATTGCTAGAAATAAGCCTTCACTTTACAAAAGCACTTTGAGCATCATTTACAAGATAACCCATCACTTGTTGAACCCTGCTAGCTAGAATTTTAGATATGACTTTATATATCATCATTTACAAGATAACCCATCACTTGTTGAACCCTGCTAGCTAGAATTTTAGATATGACTTTATATATTACATTGCAGCATGATATTGGTCTGAAGTTGAACCCTGCTAGCTAGAATTTTAGATATGACTTTATATATTACATTGCAGCATGATATTGGTCTGAAGTTAGCAGCTGAGCTTGGGTTAAGAATTTTTGGAACCAAAGTAATGGATGTATTGTTAAGGGTGCCAAGTAATTTACCTGAATAGAAGAACTCTTCAATAGCCAGAAAAAGATCTTCCTTAATAATATCTCATGTAGCTTTGTAGAAAGAAGAGTTAAAATCATCTGGTCCAGGAGCTTTACTATTAGGTATAGAGAATAGAGCTTGCTTTATTTCCTCTCTGGTAACAGGAGAGCATAGCTTATTACACTGGTCATCAGTCAAGATTGGCCCATTTTTTATCACACTAGGATCAGGAGCATTAGCGGCCTTTGCATTGCCCAGCAAATTTTTATAATACCCAACAAATTCTTCAACAATTTCAGACATTTCTGTGAGACTAGCACCATTTTCAGTATGCAGAGACAAAATCCTGCTCTGATGCCTTTTTAGCCTTCATAACTGAGTGAAAAAATTGTGAGCCTTTATCAGCATGAAGTCCCCATTTAATATTTGCTTTTTGCCTATAGAAGGAGTTTTCACAATCCAAAAGTTTGGTATATTTTCTAATACAATCCTTTTCTTTTGCAATCAAATCTGGATTGAAACGATCAGTGCATAGCTTTTTCTGAATGTTCCACAGCTTAGTTTTAGCTCTTGATACTTGCTGACTTATATCCATAAAATGCTTTTTATTTAACTCCTTCAGAGCAGGTTTTAGATTCTTGAGTTTAGAGTAGAACCTGAACATGTTGTATCCCCTAATTTCATCATTCCAAATTGAGTTCACCATTCTTAGGAAATCAGGGTGCTTAGCCCACATGCTAAAGAATTTAAAAGGCTTTTTTCCTATAGCAACATTGTCATCAACAACATTTATCAAACCTTGAGAGTGATCTGAACAAAGAGGCACCAAATATTCCACTTGGCTTATAGTATATTTCTGAATCCAATCCTCATTCACTAGGATCCTATCTAATCTGCTCCAGATTCTTGTGCTTGAATCTTGTTTATTACACCAAGTGAAGAAACATCCAGTAGTCTTTATGTGCATTAACTGACTAGAAGTAATGAAGCTTTGAAAGTCATCAGCTCCAGTATCAGTTATTTGAGCTCCTCCTATTTTCTCATCACTTTTTGTGATTGCATTGAAATCCCCTCCCACTAGCCAGGGGTAATTCACATTCCTTTTGAAATTCAGCAGATCTTCCCATAGTGTTTTCCTACCTTCTGTTTGATTAAGAGCATATACAGCTGTGAGAAGAAAGGATAATTTTCCATCTTTAGATTCCAACTTGTGAGTGATAAACTGATCAGTTGCATTAATATTCTGCACAGAGAAGACTTTACTTTCCCATAGAATCCATATCCTAGCTTTATTGGCCATATGAATGTTAGATATCCACTTCCAATCTTTGGCAATTTTGTTTCCAATTTGCTTCATTTTTGCTTATCCATCCACCTTAGTTTCTAATAGAGCTAGTAAAGAAATTTTATATTTCTGTATAAATTTCTTAACAACTCCATGTTTAGAGGGTTTATTAAACCCTCTAATATTCCAAATAGCCAAATTCATTAATTTGTATACCCCCCCCCGGTCAGAATTGGAGGGATCCAAATCAAATATCTGATGGTCTAGAATAGAATAATGAGAGGCAAATATTGGAGTGTTCTCTACACACATAGTAGTTCTTTTTGCAGCAGAAGCTCTGTTAACACTGATGAATCCAGAGGAGTTGACAGTAGGAGAGAATTGATAAGCATCCTCAAAACAAAATCCACTTTGTGCATGTTTCTGTGCAGGTTTACTTCTCTCTGACTGTTCAGCAAGACTTTTTCCTTGTGCATGTGTTTGTTGTGTATGTGCATCAGGTGTCTGCCTATCAAGACCAACCAGTCCAGCTCCAGGCATTTTATCAACATGATCATTGTGAGTATTTATTCCATTTATTTCCCTCACATCCTCTCCTTGAACCAGAGCAGTATGTTCAGGCTTTTTCACTGGCATCCATACTTTTTAGGTGCATTTCTCCTACATTGCTGAGTATCATGGCCAACAATATTACACAAAGAGCACCATTTTGGTTTGAACTCATACACCACTTTCTGACAGAATTTCTTACCATCTGGATTAATGATTTCTATTTGATTAGGAATTCGTTTTTTGAGGGGCAGATTCACTTCCAGGAGTACCCTGGCATAACTGAGCCTTTGTCTCGTTGCAGTAAGCTTATTAGTGGTGATAGGGCAACCAATCAAGCTTGCAACCTTGCTTATACCAGTTGAGCTCTAGAGATTCAACCTCAAATTTGGAAATGGCACCCAAATAGGGTATTTTTGATCTTGCACTCTTTCAAAGTCAGTATCAATCGACCATGGCTTTAGCATGAGTCTTGATCCAAAGAACCAGGGACCTGCTTCTAAGATCTCCCTCATACTATTTTCAGATTGAAACTCAAAAACGAAAATGCCCTGTTTAATTAAAAATACCTTCGGTATAGAAATTTTGCCCCAAATCTTAGTAACATAGGATTCCATGGATTTAAATCTAACATTCATCCCAATAACATGGCCAACAAGGGCAAATTTCCATAGTTTTTCTCCTTCTCTCCATTCATCCTTACTGAATGTAACAATATTATTGTAGGAAGAAGGAGCAAAACTTAAAGATAGACCTCCACCAGCTTTTCGATTGTCTGTAAAAAGGCTAACAAAGGATTTTTTAACTTCTTGTTCTTTATTTTCCAGATCCTTATTCTCCTCATCATTTTTTTTCCAGATTTTCATCCTTTTTCTGATTTTCATCTTCAAGATTTGTATTATTAATTCCATCCTTCAAAACTCTTCGATGAACACTCTCAGCCTCAGCGAGAGAATCATTGACAAGATCAGAATCAACAACTTTTTCCTGAACTTTATCATCAAGATTAGTATTACTAATTCCATCATTCAAATCTTTTCGATGATTATTCATTGAAACCTCATCAAGAGAATCATTAACAAGATCCGAATCATCCAAATCATCATCATCTGCCCAAGAAAGAGGGGACTTACTCAGCTGTCGAGAGATCTAGAATCCAGAATCCATTTGCAAATGTACCTCAGACATCAGATTCATCCTTGCAAGAACTTCATCCATCTTCATCGTCCTCCTTGCTCCTTTAGGTCCCGTACTTTCCATTTCTTGAGAGATCAAAGGATTCACAGATTCAACACTACCCCTGACATTAGATGAACTAGCCTGGGGATATTTGAATATCAAATCCCTAAGCTCGCTATCCTTAATCCCCTTACTTCGATTCTTCTTCGTCTTCGTCCTTGCCATTCAAGATCCAGGCGGAGGTGCACGTTAGCAAGGAGATCGCCCGCTAAAATGCACCATCAAAATCCTGCCTCGTTTGATAATAATGCCTAAGCAATGGCCAATAACTAATTGCTTAAACTTTTTGTTTAAAATTCGTCCATAGCTCCTGTTTAAGTCCCATTAACTCTTGGTTGGACCTCATTTCTCCTCAATCCACCCATGGATATCTATATCCTTTTACATAGCTGTTTCATTGGATGAAAATAGTGTTGCAAATGTAAATATAACAATCGGATTTATAAATGCACTATTTGGTTTGCAACATTGTATTTAAGAAAAATAAATGGAGTTGAATTTTGTAGACAATACTTGCAACAAATGCTTCAACCAATTTGATGGGAAGAAAATCTGCAAGCTTAAAAAAAATGTTAAAAATAAAAATAATCTTACCTCATCCAAAGAAATCTTTTTAAATACAAACAAAAAAAGTCCCCTATACCCAAGTTTTTTTATATGACAAAACTATGTACCTTGTATATTAATTGCTTTTCAATCAAAAGCTGAATTTGTATTTGAAGTACATTTCCTACAATATAATTGCAATTATTAAAATAATAAATTTAACGTTAGCTTTCTAGTATTAAATATTGCACACAGCATTGCTGCTATCACATTTGTGGTAATTTATTTTTAAAGCAAACCACATAGCCCCTAAGCGAACTTCAATAAGATGATGAGATGTCAGTGGGTTGAAGTAGGGTCCCAAGAGCTGGTTTCCAAAGAGCCCAGTATCAATAGAGACTTTCTTCATATATACTCAAAAAAGGCGCCCTGAATTAGGCCTAATTGATGGCTATTTATGATTTAGGCCGGCGTGCGGGTTTTCTAAGTCTGGAATGACGGGTTTGGCCTACTTCCAGTTTATTGATATTATCAGATAATGACTAGTTTCAAACACGTGCCATGAGCGAATTTGGATTAAAATTTTAAATAGTTTGAGACATAATTACCAACAATTTTCCCATAAACCTAAACTAATTTTACAATTTTTCTATTTCCAGACATTCTGTCAAGTGAAAGCTTTCATTATATAAATTATGTCAGAAATTAATAATATTGCTAAAATATAATATGTTTGAACCAGTTAATATAATATTGTAGCATTTTACTTGTATTACCAGCCAGTATTTGAAAAACACATTTAAAATTTTTCCAAGTAAAATAAGTAATAATAAAATGTTATCCAACTTCCATGAATTTCCAAGCAAAAAAGTAATGTGTCCAACTTAAACCTACAATAAAAAAACTTTAACATATTAAAATTGGAGTTTTTTAAGTAAAATTAAGGGAAAAATGCTTCCAGCCCCCAAAACACAAGAAAACGTGCTTCTCCCCCCTAGGGGGGGGGTCTTATTTCCCTCCAAAATTATCGCCAGATATATTCTCCTTCCAACTAAAATCGCTGAGTTTCTCCCCATTTTATTACCCCAACTAATTTGTTCATTCCACTTAATTCTCCTCAATAAAAGCCTCATCTCCATACACATGCCGCTCCACCAAAAGTGTCTCTTCAGGCCCTTGTACATTTTTATTGTGCCTAGATGCACTGTATACCTAGTACGATGTACATCATCAAATAAATCTTTCTTCAACTGTGGATTATTTGGCATCACTAATCAGCCCTTCATTCGAAGTCCTCTATCTGCTCTAATGGTTCAATCAGCCTTTGGCACCTTAGAAATCTCCTCCTTTCGGATTTGAATCCAAGAGTCCTCTAACTAAGCTCTGACCACTCTACCACTCTAAAATGGCTGTAATGTTTCTCTAACCAATCTCCAGTCTAAAGTCAAACTGGCTAAGGGTGTGAAGATCTCGATACAACGAGCACCTCAAAGCTAAAATATGATGCCGACGCTTCCTGCTCAACGTGTCCACCCCATGTTTGCCTTCCTTGGATGGTACTGAATCGCGAACTCATAATCCTTGATAAACTCAACCCATCATCGCTGTCTATGATTTAGCTCTTTCTGAGAGAAGAAGTACTTCGAACTCTAATGATCCGTAAATAGCTCAAACTATACTCTATACAGATAGTGTCTCCATATCTTCAGTGCGAAGACCATTGCTACTAACTCTAAGTCGTGCGTGGGATAGTTCTACTCATGCATCCTCAACTGTCATGAAATGTGCGTTACTACCCTCTGGGTCTGCATCAATAAACCTCCTAGACCCGATAGAGACACATTTGTGTAGATGACCAATGTCTTATCACTGCTCGGGGTAATTAATACCAGTGCTGTAGTGAATTTAGCCTTTAAAGTCTGAAAGGCTTCCTAGCACTCAGTGCCCCAAACAAACGGTACACCCTTCTTCATAAGGTGTGTAAGTGGCGTTAAAATCTTCGAGAACAACCTGAACGAACTTCCTGTAATAGCCTACCAAACCCAACAAACTACGGATCTCTAAAATGGTCTTTGGCGGCTCCCAATTAAGTACTGCCACCAACTTTATTGGATCTACTACAATACCCTCCTTGCTGATGACATGGGGCCAAAAACCTGACTTCAAAAAGCCAAAACTCGCACTTGCTGAACTTAGCGTATAACTGATGCTCCCGCAATGTCTGCAATGTCAATCGAAGATACTGCTCGTGTTCTGCCTCCATTATCGAATAGATAAGAATATCGTCGATAAATACGATCACAAATTTGTCCAAATATAGACGAAATACCCAGTTCATCAAATCCATAAATACAGCGGGTGCATTGGTTAGTCCAAATGGCATGACAAGAAACTCAAAGGACCCATATTGAGTCAGAAAGGCGGTCTTAGGAATATTCATCTCCCGAACTCGCAACTGATGATAGCTAGAATGAAGATCAATCTTAGAGAAGTGATGCGCTCCCTGTAGCTGGTCGAACAAGTCATCAATCCTCGGTATTGGATACACATTCCAGATAGTGACTTTGTTCAACTCACGATAATCTATACATAGGCGCATACTACCGTCCTTCTTCCTCATGAAAAGGACAGACGCTTCCTACGGAGAATGACTCCGACGAATAAAACCATAAGATAAAAGCTTATCTAGCTGAGTATGTAGCTCCCTCATCTCAGCAGGTGCCATAGAATAGGGTTCT